AAACACCTTCAGCTTCAAAGGCTCACCCTAATAAAAATGAGGAAGGACAACGCATGGTTCTATGTAAGTCCAACACCTGAGGGGGTTGTGATCACCTGCGATAACAAGGAAGTACGAGAAATTTCAGAGGACTCAGGAATCCTGCCAGTCGAGGACTTCTGTGAGATAGTTGCTTCCGATTTCATTAAAAGAAGCCAGAAATCACATGAAATGATATCCAGTGCTCATGTTCACCCCAAATTGAACTCAACATTGGATGACGGCACCGTCACTCAACTGGAACAACGAAAATTCAACCTGAGTGAAGTTCCACTGACCAATGTTGTCGGGAATATGAAGGAGCTGGAAGGACTTCACGTGCAACTGGAAGCTGAGAAGAAGACAGCTAGACAAAATACAAAAGAAATTCGACTATCGAGAATTTCTCACACACCCTTCATCGATATTCACCGGAGTGATGGTGATTCTAGCAATCATCTTAGGACTGACCCTTTACTGCTGGTGCCGAAAACCATGGCCGGCGCCCAGGAGGGAAGCAGCGAACTTCGGAATACCATAAGAAGAAATCTATTTTGTAAATATGAATTGTTAATGTAAAAAAAAAGTTGATTATGTAATATATCGATGGAGTAGAATTAGAAGAGAGAATTTCTAAGGATAGTAATTTTCTTCCCTGGCGGGGAGGGATGTTATGCCGCAAAATAACGTTATGAAATTCCTTTGTTGAACCGGATGATATGAGGACATGAAAGTGGCACATATTAGTCGAAACAAAACAGGGAATAAAGAAGTATATAATAACGTCGAATACTCGTGTTTGAAAAACTATGTATATTCGACGAATGTCGATAACTGGGATGCAGCGCCAACACTTAGCGCCCTGACGACTGCCCTTCGTGCCCGCCGAGAGATGTCGCCCGATGCCTCGCAGGTGTGCGACGAAGACAATGACCTGATGCAATTAAATCCACGAGGGAATAAAAACTCGTGAATTCGTTGCCTCTTGGCCAGTAATTCGACGACACTTTAATTACCTTCTTTTACTTTCTACTCACCTGATACCTTCTGTATCAGACCAAGTTTTTATTTATTTAATAAATGGTAAAATAATCGTTTAAAATCAATTCTCAATAAAGATACTCATTTCTAATATTTATCCGCGTGTGATTAACTCCCTTTCTCGAACTCAACTGCTCGGGTCCATTACAATTTCATGAGAATTTAGTCATTCAAAAGTAAATAAAAGAATACCCATTGATTTTGGAATAACGCATTGAATGTTTAAGCGATTATAAATTTGGGTGCAGGTAATATGCGGAGAATAAAGGGCCTATGAGCCCCTCGTTCTTTCGCGGCGCAATCACCATTCCTTGTGACGTCTAGTCTGCTCTGCCGAGCCAACGCGCCTCGACACGTTCTACCGAAACGAGCAGGTCATGGAAATGGGGCAGCAAAAGGAAGAGAGGAAGAAGGAATCGATAGCGTCGTAAGGATTTTGGGGCAGATGTTTAGCATTCAAAAGACGTTCTTTCGGATTATCCACATCGGATAGGACCGTTAGTTGTTAACCAACTTTGGAAACGACAGCACGTGTATTTTGTGAGTGATAGAATAAAAATTGTTGAACGTGTCCCGAAAAATGGAACCAGAATGTCCTTCGACCTCTCGTCACCCATTGGAGGAGACTTCTCAAGATACGATTCATAGAAGTCAATCAAAAAAACTCATGAACAAAGCTGTTATCCATTATTAAAATCTCTTGCTAGAGAATGATCTCACAGTGGAGGAGGTACCGACGTTCGTTTCATCGTAGGCAGCACTGATCAGAGACTAAATATTCCACCGTACCCTGGGAATGTTGGAAGATCAGATTTTGGTGCAAGATCATGAATTGAGCCTCCCGTATAAAAATGATGCGGACCAGCCGTACGAAACAGTGAGTGAAGACGAGGGACCCAAATCTGAAGATGAAGAGTACGAGCCCCCTGAAAAGGACAAGAAAGTTGAACATCTTCCCTGGAAATCAAAATGAAAGTGGTGAGATTAGCAAAGTTGCATGCCAATTGGAAGCTGTCATAACTTCAGATCAAAGGCTCGAAACTTTTGAAAAGCAAGGATCAATTGTTACGACAGAAGAAAGATGTCAAAAGTGGGGGGACCAAATACGATAAATACGCCGCTATCGAGGGATGGACTCATGACTGCTTGAAGGAAGCTCGAGAAGAATTCGTTCAGGTAAACTTTCACATGGACTTCAATTCTTTTCAACTGACGTATTTGACAAATACAAAATATGATAATTATGACCTCTCATTTCGGCACACAATTGATAGCGATCACCAGAGTTTATGAATCGCATCTCATTACTCATACCGACCAGATGGGCTGCCAATATTAGTTCAGCTTCGACAGAACACCTGCGGAGAAAGGATCCCAGACTGTTGTGGGCCAGAAGCGTTACGTCAACAAATTGAGTCATTCATACACTGCGCAGTATGGCATTATAATGTCCGGGGAGTTATTACCAAATGTGTTCCTGTGCCTGCAGGAGCCAATGGGATTCTTCGGCCCGCGAGTAAAGATAACTGTCGACAGTTTAACACAGGAATTTGGCAATGTTGTTGTAACTTACTTGTTATAGAATAAAAATAAGCATAAAAATACAGCAGAGAAATGAGACAGGAGGTATTATTTTCCCTTCCCGTCAACACAATTTTCCTGCACTCAGGAATCTCGCGAGCTGCCGTAGGCGTTAATAATTTATTCTATTCCTTGTTTATTTGTTCAATTTTCCCAACGAATAACTCCACATATATTGAAATTGAATCGCATCGGCTAAGGAATCTAGTCGACATTTAGGACGCATGTGCCGATTTATTGATCAACTGTCGCGCAACAGGCTGCCTAGGGCCCATCGCTCCAGTCTTCACCCGGCAGCATCGAAATACACGTGCCAAGTTGTATCGTCGTATATAAGTGTTAATTTTCTTTGTATTATTTATGTACAATTTATATTGTGTGGTAAAGACTCAATCCCCGAGGTCATTGTATTAAAAGTGAATTGTTGACATTAAACTGTGAGTAATTAATTATTCATAACTTTCTTGCCTTATCTTCTCTCTTTTCTCTCTTAGTCGAAATTTATTTCTTTGGGTCTTCCAACTTCCACTCCCTGAGCTGAGTCGATTGATCGTTGTTAGTTTACGTTAAACTAACTGGCGCCTATCAGGTTTATTATCATTGTCGAATAATAATATTATTTTGTGGATTTTTATGAACCCTGACAGCCCTTGACCCAGGCCGCGCCAGGTGAAGGCCTTCAGTCGAATTTTTGTTGCCGTCGAGTTGAAATTTTATTATCGTTTATTTATTAAAATCGAAAGGCCTGTTTCAGAAAAGTTTCACACCCGGATCGCTGGGTTGGTAGGCGGACGCGCTGCCACTCGGCTAAAGCGCCCTTGGGAAACGTTGGGAACTTACACATATGTTATGCCCAAATCTTTCGGTCAAAATTTCTCCCTTATTTTTAGGCATCTGCCCCTAAGTCTTTGATGAGGGGCACCACTAGTGACACCCTTCAAATACGTGCAGATTGGATGTTGTTGGTGTACAACATCAGCCGGCCTCTCCTTGTGAGAAATGATCTCCTGACTATTCCCTCACTCCTGTCGCATTAGGACCGTTGTAAGTATTACCATTGAGGCCCTCTTGCATGTTCTCGTGCAATATGTCGCGGAAGTTTTGATAGATAGACAATAAATAACGAGAGATGAAAAAATAAAAAATTTTACTGATAAAGAGTCAGTGCCTAATAAAGTAAAAAAGATTGAAAGCTTATTTAAAAGTGTATGTGGAAGTCCTGGTAAATACGTGAAACAAAGATCGTGAAAGATACCTTCAAATTGTGAAATTCTTCAGCAAAAGAGGAGAAAAAAATTGAAAATTGAAAAACTAGAACGAAAATAGTCTTCAAATATTGAGAGTTATCCAGTGCAACCGTTTCTTGAAAATCAAGGTTCTGTTAATAATTTGGGGATTGCCAGCAATGAGATGTGTCATTTCAAATTACTTCTTTTCTTCGTTAAATTTGTTTCATCCTATTTACCAATGAATTGCTTTTAACAAATCTTATGTTTGGAACCCATCCCCTTCTACGTCGAACGTCCGGCCCCCATCGGTAGTGGAGATAAGATTGCAAGTCGAAGGGTTAAGCGATTGAAGGCCCTAAACTATTTAACAGTAGAGATGCCATTGAAATCCATTGAGTCATTTTTACGTGAATCGCAGACAAAGAATCGGAATCGATTTATTATATTTAACAGAAAGAAGAACGATAGGTGAAAATTTGGCCTATAATGATATTTTCTAATAAACACCTATGCTGTAAGTATATTTAGAGACTGTACAATTGCGATACGCCATTGAACTACTCTAACATTTGATTCCATACTTTGCAAGATTATATGATCAGGGCTGCCCATGAGAGGGGATGAGTCAAGATTTTGAAAAGTCTTGTGGCGGTCTCATTAAAATTCAAATTTTTGATATTGTCTAGATCTCGCTGCCATATCGTTTCAACTCGTTCTCATCTCAAACAAAAATTACTTTTCAATTCTGTATTCTCGGATCAAGTCCGCAAAGGTCGAACTTCAGGTTCAGCCGATATTTGGGTGTGAGTGGTTCGTCAAGACTTAGCATGTCAACTCTAGGCCAAGACTTCGCTGATTCTACAGCGTGAGCAATTCGGCCCCGGGACATTCCCGTTCCTAGCCATTCGTACCTGAGTCTTTAGCGAATTACAGCATAGTTACACCAAAACAAAGTGAATAAATGATGAAATAGAATGCAAACAGATGAATAGATGGTGAAATGAAAAGTAAACACGCCGTAGAAAAAGTGACCCCTCTCCTGATCACAAGACGACGGCTATTTCTATTTATTTGTTCTGCAGAAAACATAATGAGAAAATTGTCGTTGACAATAAGAAAGGCTAGACTCACCAGATATACCGGATTGATTTCATCTTAAGAGCGGTAGAGTTCTCTTTACACTTGTATGCTAGGACTTGCTTCACACTACTGACATCCACGGATGGAAACCTAGACGTTACATACGCTGAAAAGTAAACAAATAAAACGTCAATTATAATGCAGAAACTACTAATGAAATTCGTTCATCTAATTTTCTTTTATATTATAAATTTTTAACTCCAATAATTTATTTCCTTCTTCGAAAGTAGCAATTTATCCCTCTTGAATAACTAGCAGATTAATTTCTTTTGAGCTTGGAGAAGGTACATCGGGAAAAGAACCCCAATTGCATATATTTAAACTAGACTATGTGGAGGACAGGTCCTACATTTGGTTTCTTTCAACGTACACAGAATCCTATTAGTATATCACTCAAATAGAAGAATGGCCCTGAACCGGTGTTGTACATCGATATTTAGGGGGTAATCTCTGCATTTGAAGTTTTTCCATTTAAAAAGTACGTAAAATCTCATATTTTAATGCTTCATAGGTACTCTCCCGTACGACGTAACTTGTACACTGTCAGACAATTACTCTTGAAATTTCAAGTGAAAAAGCTTGAAATTTTTAACAACGACAAAGTTACATGAAGTTTCTGTACATTCTCCATTGACGAATCACTTAATTTCTTGAATATTCAAGTCATTTTCGATTTTCAGCTCAATACTGCACTGAAAAACCTTGATAATTTGAAAATTCAGGTAATAACTTCTCTAATTTTTCAATCTATTGGAAATTGAATTGTATGTGATATTCAATTTTCACGACGAGTTTGGAAATTCAAGCTTTTATTGAAAAATCAATGATTTTTTAACATGAAAACCCCAATTTTCTTGAATTTTCAAGATGAATGAGAAATTTAGTAGACGTTTTCAATTGAAATTGAATTCAAACTCACAACATTCAAAATTCACATGACATTGTGACTGAAATTTCAAAAAATTTCTAACAGTATATAGCATGAATAATCATGAAATTGGTCAAACATTGATTGTACTGAACTAGAAAAAATTGCAATTATTCATTTAAACAATGTGGGATGAAACCATTGAAGGAAAAAATTCACCTTCAGATGTTTTCCGCCTATTCAATTTGAAAAAAAAATTGAATGGGGAGTAGGGATGTGCAATCTAGTTACTTTCAAGTCCCGAAAGTATTCGTTACGGGACTTGAAAGTATTTGTTCTTTTGTATTCGTTATTCGTTACTTTTTTTCTAGCTTATCAATAATCAGAAAAACAATTCAATTATGATAATCAATGGTAAAAAAAATTCAAAACAATGTAATCGTCTCTGCAGAGATAAAGTGGGATATGTTGGAAACAAATATGTACATTTTTCATGGAATATCTTCAAAAGCAAGAGGTTTAGAGGGAAATGTTAGCAGACATCTCTTGTTGAGAATGGCCTGCTCTATAAAGAAGCTCTGTTTGGTGAGGAACTAGTTTTAGGGTGGATGTGGAAGAAAATGTGGAGGGAGATGCTGGAAAATTAAATTGTCACTGTTTATCAAGAAATATAACTCAATTTATTGTGGGCTCGAACCACTTCATTAATTAAATAGATACATTTCTTTGGTAGTATCGGCACTGTTGATAGTCTTTTCAAATGATTTGTTGAGTCACTGAATTTAACACTGAATTTGATCAAAACTGATGTGATATACTGAACGTAATGCTACAATTTAATACCCGTGCGATCTTCTCAATAGCTAGATTCTCAACTACTTTTTGGGGGTTTCGCAATCCCCTGGCCGCGCAACCGAAGGTTCCCGATGGTGCTCGAGAATTGTCAGTAAGACCGACCGTTTAACTGATAGATATAGACCTACGTTTCAAACAAGCTCTTATAACATTTTCCTGTAAACTCATGAGTTTCAGAGATATTTGCACAATAATCTGCACAAACGAATGATCATTTTTACGACCCATATTTTATTTCAATCATAAAATTGTCTTTCTTATTTTTCTCAACATATTAAGGTATGAACTGGAAGTTAACATTAAGGAACATTAGGCTTCGGATATTCTTCGACTTCAGGCGACTCCTTTTCTCAGCCACAATTTACCCAGATTTAGCGAACATACATGAATGATTTCCCCCTCGCACCTAACTGCCCAACACGGCCAACGGTCAACGGACAACGGTCGGTACATTAGAAAATTACCATAAGTACTAAATACTTTTCACTCTCGATACATGTTATTTTCGGGTTTCAAAAGTGACAATATCAAAGTAACGAATGATTACTACCCGCACATCTCTAATGGGGAGCCAAGTAATATGTAATAACTAGGGGGCTACGCCCCCTGCTCGCTCCGCTCGCCAATCCCGGGGGGCTTCGCCCCCCCCCCGCTCTCTGCNTGGACACTCTTCATATATGGGCACCCCCCATATATATGGGCACCCCCATGTATGAACACCCCCCATATATGGGCACCTCCCATATATATAGGCCCCATATATGGACACCCCCTATATATATAGGCACCCCCCCTATATGGGCACCCCCCATATATATAGGCATCCCCCATATATATAGGCATCCCCCCTATATGGGCACCCCCCATACATATAGACACCCCCCTATATGGGCACCCCCCGATATGGGCACCCCCCGTATATGGGCACCCCTCATATATGAGCACCCCCCACATATGGGCACCCCCTACATATGGACACCACCCCATATATATAAGCACCCCCCCATATATGGACACTCCCCATATATGGGAACCCCCAAATATATGGGCACCCCCCATATATATAGGTACCCCCATATATGAACACCTCCCATATATATGGGCACCCCCCATATATGGGCACCCCTCTATATATGGGCATCCACCCATATATGGGCAGCCCCCTTAGAACCCCCATGACTCTTACGACCCTTATCACCCCTATGACCCTCGTGACCCTTAGCACTCCTATAACCCTCGTGACCTTCAGCGCTCCTATGACCCTCGTAACCCTTAGCACTCCTATGACACTCATGATCCTTAGCACCTCTATGACATTTAGAACCCCTATGATCCTCGTGACCTCTGAGACCATCGTGACCCTTATGACCCTTAGCCCCCCTATGACCCTTAACACCCCTATGGCCCTTAGCACTTCTCTGACCCTGATGATCCTTATGTCCCTTAGCACCTCTATGACATTTAGAACCCCTATGATCCTCGTGACCTCTGAGACCATCGTGACCCTTATGACCCTTAGCCCCCCTATGACCCTTAACACCCCTATGGCCCTTAGCACTTCTCTGACCCTGATGATCCTTATGTCCCTTAGCACCTCTATGACCCTCGTGACCCTTATCACTCTCTTAGCTCCTCTATGACCCTTATGACCCTTAGCACCTTTATGACCTTCGTGACCCTTAAGACTCTCAGTAATTCTGTGACCCTCGTGGCTCTTATAAATCTTAGCCCCTCTATGACCCTTATGACCCTTATCACCCCTATGACCCTTTTGACCCTTAGGGCCCCTATGACCCTTGAAATCCTTAGCACCTCTATGACCTTTGTGACCCTTAAGACTCTTAGTACATCTGTGACCCTCGTGACCCTTATAACCCTTCGCCTCTCTATAACCTTTATGACCCTTAATATCCCTATGACCCTTGGCACCTCTATGACCCTCGTGACCATTATGTCCCTTAGCACCTCTATGAACCTCGTGACCCTTATGACGCTTAGCCCCTCTATGAGCCTTATGACTCTTAACACCCCTGAGTCTTAGCACCTCTATAACTCTCGTAACCCTTACGACCCTCATGACTCAGCCCCTCTATGACCCTTATGACCTGTAGTACCCCTATGACCCTTATGACCCGTAGCACTCCTATGACCCTTAGTCCTATATTTATTATATAGAGAGAGCACCCTTGAGACCCTTACAGACCCTTTAAGATTCTTTGAGATCTTTTAAGACCCTTGAGACCCTTCCAAACCCTTTGAGAACCTCTGAGACCCTTCCCTGAAAATTATCACCATTTCATGTCTTAACCGAAGTCGATTTGGAATTTTATAATATAGAGAGATATGGGGGAGGGGGGTTCGTCTATTCAATTGAAAAAAATTGAATAGACGAAACTCCGTGTAGGAAAACCATCATTCGGAAAAAGATTCGAAGGGATCAAATGTCATGATTTTTGGGAGCAATATTGAAAAAAATGTATGAAAGAATTATTCTCGTGCTAAATTAGGTTTCGAATTCATTATTAATGTATTTGCCTCGCACCACTGAAAAATGTGCATTATGAAGTGACGACTCACATCTCTCTGTCGGGGTACAGGGCAATTTTTTCTCACTCCATGAGCGATTTGTCGCTAATGGAAAAAAATGAGAATGTTCGATTCTCTCCGAAAGACATGAGGCAAACTCATCAAGAAAGTTATGTGTTAAAAATGATGATAACTTCGATGATTCCCAGGATGGCGGCGGAAGGGAAAGTGCCAGAATATTTTAGGTGATTTGTCGTAGAAAAAAACAGTATATTAGGCACTAAGCCGAGTCAATTTAATAATATTAACCTATACTATACTGTACATTGTACACTTGATATTTAATTATTTAGTTGATTTACGCCAAAGATAATGAAGTTGATATTCGATTGGATGATTTAAATCGATCTTATAAGTGTTGAATTCCGATATGAATGATAAATAAACTGGTGATTTTCAAGATAGGTTATGATGAGTGTCAAGGTGAGTTAACACGCGATACGATGTACTGGGTGCTAGATGGATTCGATGACTAAGTGGCCGTCGAATGGTTTCTAACCATTTCGGCGGCGTTCGGATGAGTTGTCGTCTGTTGCCGATAGTCATGGCAACCGATGAGTGGAAATTTGACTGCCTTATTACAGAGTCCCCCATGGAAATATTTATATCCACAGATATATCTGAAGATATATTTATGTTACATATTTCTTTTGTAATTGAGATATATCTCTCAGGTATTTATTTATCATGTACATAGATCGATTTTTGACTTTATAAGTTTTGCATAGGATGGTCTCGGGGACAAAATACAAAACGGGTGTTTTTTTAAGCCTTTCCACTAAAAAATTAA